CAAATCAATAATTCTCACTAACATTTCAGAGTTACAACATTTATAAAGTTGCAAAGTGGAGTAAACAAACCATCTGTTTGGCTTTTCCTTATGTGTCATGCTTTCTTATTAGCATATTACGATTCATTTAGTAAACAAATTTGGTGATTTCATTCATGTCAAAGTTAGGTCAGAAACTTGAAGATGATTAACATTCCTGGGGCCGGCACATTAATACATTGCTTCCTGGGCAAAGTTAAATGGCTTCTCAGGAGAATCGCCCCTTGTTGACAAGATGAGACTGTCAATTTTGTTTGCCTGCCACATTAGGGGCCGTAAGGGAATGGCAGGTTCTGAGAGAGGGGAGTCATGTAGGCAGCATAATTCACTGTGAATTGAGAAAAGAAGTCTAATTCTGATAAATGGTCGACCCCAATACATCCCGTGTGTTATTACAACAGACGTGCCGTATCTGTGTGGTAAATTAGCTAAACCCCTGAAGAGTTTGGTGGGAGCTTATCTTCAAGTGAATAATTTGAATGTAGCTGGAACTGCCTGCGTGACCAGTATGGATGATTTGTTTTATGTTGAAAAGGATTGAAGTGACTGAATTTCATACTTTTAATTTTCCAGAATTTGCTTAGCTTTGAAATCTTGCATTTAACATGTACTTCTTTACTTTTTTGTATTTTTTAATGTTGTTTACTAGAATTTTACATTGAAGTTTTTCCTGAACTAGCAATAGTTTTCAGATCTTCTGGAGAGAATTTTTAAACAACAGCCTACAGAGCAACTAGTTTCTGCAGAAATGCATGCTATCAAAAATGTAATTTAATTCACAGGACTGTAAGCATCCTGTTATTCACAAATGGTAATATAAAAATTTTTGAGCAGTTAAGGACAACAGATAGTGTTATATGAAGCCATAGAAGAGAATTAAGTGAGGCAGAAATTTTAATTTTTCTTTTGTCAATATGGATAGTATTGTTAACTCAGTGTCCCATAATACACTCAAACCTGGTATCTAGATTTCCCAAAATTGGATATAAATTTACCTCTCTATCCCCATGCACATATACATATATATACACACTCTGTGTGTGTGTGTGTGTAGTATCTGCCATGTAAATACACTGAGATTATTCTGGACAATATAAGGGAGTTGTATGTGTGTGTGTGTGTGTGTGTGTGTGTGTGTATGTGTGTGTTCAGTGGCAGAGGTAAGCAAGAAAAAAAGGCAAAACTAATCCAAAATGGAGCCTTAATTCCATTGTATCTGGAGGTGTTGTAATTAATTATCAAGTATTTTGTTTTAATTCACTAAGTGGCTAATTCACTAATGGCTCAAAACTGATGAAGAGTTAGATGTTGGACTTCTCATGTAACGTAGAGCTTGACTCACTATTTAGTTTCAAATGTTCAGGTTAAGGGTAGTATTAATATCCAGTGACTCCGATTCCCTAACCATTTTACTTTTCAGTTGTACCTGACACATCACAGTTTCTCAAAGGTGCTGACTATTCACACTGCAACATTCTGGTTTTCTCATTTGGGCATGAGACTTTCTTAATTTATTTTTATTTTTATTATTATTATTTTTATCTTCTCCCAAGAACATGTTCTTGATTTTAGAGGGGAAGCGAGGGAGGGAGAGTCTGAGGGAGAGAACATCAACTGTCTGCCTGCCACCCTCCTGTCATCTTACGATCCTCTTCTCCATGTATCTTGTAGTCAGTAGGCATGAGTTCTTCTGTGTCTCTTCCATCTTCCCTTCTTACCTCTTCAATTTTCTGATCCAAGTACACTTGTACATTGCTGTTAACCATAGATCTTTGTATCTCTTCATGAGGACAGTATTTTATGACGGTTAGTGGTTTGGATTGACCTATTCCACAGTCTGACAATAGGGCTTTGTTAAATCAAGTGCTGCCTTTTGTCCATTCTGTGAAAGCTGAACCTAACTTCTTGAGGGGTAGAATCAGTACTCTTTAAAGAATTTAAAGTCTTCCTCCTTTCCCTCCTCTTCTTTTCCTCTTACTACCCCAGTAATGCTGTGTGAGTTTGTTAGAAAATCTCAAAAGCTCACAATCATGAGAAAAAAACAGCAGGCTTTCTATAGCCCATTCTTCCCATCCTCATTTCTAGTGTTTTGCATATGGTATTTAGGGAGATTATTAAACAAAACTGAAATAGATTAAGAAATGAACATAAAAAAATCAATTCCCTTGAACTGTGGTTGCATAATGGAAATCGACTACCATGAATGAACCTGTGTACCGAAGTTATGAACAGCAGAGCTAATGCACTGCCATGAGTTCATCTTTATTATTGCATTACACCTGAATCAATTGATAAAGTAGGGGTTTTTTTTAAGCGAAGGATGGCACTTAATTGAATAAAAGTCAATGTAATTATATTAGCAGAGGCCAACAGTACTGCTGACAGCGGAAAAGGGACACTGTTGAACAGAGTGCCAGAGCTGGTCTACACATTTCTGCACATCGTTTGGTTGACAGATATTGAGGGCTGGTACATCATCTAATTAGATTACAGATTTCTATTGCTGTAAGTGAGAAATGAAGAGAAACATCTCTTCCTGGTAACATATCGGTGGAGATGTGTAATTTCACAAGTCATTTTAGGAAAGATGTGTCCATCTGGGTGATCAGTGTGTCCTTTTGTCAATGTTAATTTATTCTTCTTATTCAGTGTGTCTTTATGTGACTGTTGTGTGTCTGGCTGCTGTTTTCTCAGCAGTAAATCGAAGTGGTATCTGCAGATGTGTGAGAAGCAACGCAAAGTTCTAGATTACAGTCAATCACAAAATGTGTGCTTGTGAAATCAAGAAAGCGGGGAGGGTGTTAAAAATAATGAACAGAGAGGGGGTAGGATTTTGTGAGCTGCTTATGGCTGGCAGATTGTTTTATCAACAGAGTAATAATATAGAGTGCAACTCTGTTTCTACATTCTTATAATGACTCTGGTGGTGCCATACTCACATGTCAGGGTAAAGACTTCCCAGTAGGCATTTCCTGCACTCGGCTTAGCAACCTGCCCTTGGAGTTATCTGCCCTCTGACCCCAGGGAAATGGGGAGACTGTCAGAACAGAGACCATGGGGACAACTTCTCTTTATCATTCACATATCTGCGCACTGCATGCATCTGTGTAGAACTCATTTATGGATGATGCTGATGCTGTGAATTTGTTTTATCTTAATTTGATTTATGATTTTTGGATTATGCAGCTGATCTGAAAATCATCAAGACAGCATATGAGATGATCGCTTATGACAGAAAATGATTTTGTGATCAGAACATTTTAAATCCCTATTTTATTGTTGAAGTATTTTTAAAAACCAGATGTCTAGAATGTGAATTTGTTTTCTCTCTCTCTCTTTCTTTTTCTCTCTCTGTCTCTCATTCTTGCTTTCTTTTGTGATCGATTTAGCAAAAGATTAGAAAGCTGATCTTATTATCACAAGGTAAGCTCAGCCTTCCTAAGTGCAGTGTGGAGAGGGCTGTGCCCCCTCTTCCCCTTAAAACCAGAGTTCTGTATATATTGTCTCGTGTGGGAGGGTGGAGAAGTCTTTCTCCCCTTCCTTGTGTCTGAGGCACATACCTCTCAGCCACCTCTCAGAAGTGTTACCACATTTGTCACCAAATGGAGTGACTTGTTTTGGTCTTCCATACTTTTTATTTGTAATCAAGAGGTCTGTGGAACTTTATAACAGCTATTACAGATAATTTCTATTAGCACGGTTACTTCTCCAAGATGCAGCACTTCTGCCATTATTGAGAAGCTTTTATATATCTGTAATTTGTACAGGTTTATTTTTTGGAAGGATAGCCTTCAAAGGATACTTTTTAAACATGTGAGCCTTTGCAGGTGGAGAGAGGTATATGCCCAAGGGCACTTTAAAAATAAATGGGGGGTGTAAATACAAAGGCAATGTTTTCAGATAGATAACAACATATCAGGCCTTGTAAATCATGACATCCCTATGGATGCTCTGGGACAAATTCTTATCTTTTTTTACACAAGCAAAGCACTTAGTGAGTGGAGTAAAAGTTTTGCTTGTCTAAGAAGTATGGGTTCCAGTTGTTAAAATACAGAAATAGTATGTTATTGTGCTTGATTTTTTTTGTATTTATTGTGATTCTTTTTTTCTTTCCATCCCTTTGGGTTTTCTGTTGTTTAATGTGATTTTTTTTTAAAGGGTGGGTGGGTTTTAGTTTTTTTAGCAGTATCTTTTTCAATTTCTGTTTTAGAGAATTAAATTTTAAAAGTTGAATTGCTTAATGAAAATATTTGCAACTCTAAAATGTAGCAGCTCCTGAAAATAATTGTTTTATTATTAGATTTACCTGAAATCCCAAATCATTCTGAGAAAAAGGATTTATGCCAAAGAGTCTATAACCCTATTTCAAATTGCTCATCTACTAAGCTAAATGTTTTTCTACCTAAAACTTGAAGTGTAGGAAGTAGAGGGGCAAGATTTCATTATTTTTGAAGTTACACCTAAATTATCTAGACCATTGGCTATTTTTTATACCTCTAAATAAGTAAAGTGTTTGCTGTAGAAAAAAAAAGGTTTTTAGGTAAATTCAAATTATTCAGTTTAGACAACAAAAAAGTTCCCATTCTTTTATCCTACTTAATATATATTTTTAAATCTTTGCTATGAGGATTGTCTGTAGCTGATGCTGCTACATGGCAGAACTAACAGAACAATCATTGAGGAAAAGGTGCATGGGTTTGCATTCATCCCACCATTGAAGAGTTTTACTCTTATAAAAATTATGTTAATGAAAAGCTCCCCTTATTGCACTTCCCACCACCACTTAGTCCCAAATCCTGAGGATGTAGGGAAATGTTTGCTTTTATAATGGTGCAATTAGCAATGAATGTGCTTACTTGATGCCTAGTGAAAGCTGAGTCAATTTTAAAATGCTCTCCTTTTTCTCACCCCTCCCCACTCCCTACACACCTACCCTCCCCCCTTCCCTCTTGATTTCCTAGACACAGTGCCAACATAAATCTGCATCGTAAACTGTTGACCAAAGAACTCGATGACATGGGCCTGGACTCATCGTCGCAGCCCTCCCTTAGCAAGGACCTCCGGGATGAATTTTTGATGAAGATCTATGGAGCCCACCACCCCATGGGGCTCGACATCAGGGAAGATGCCTCCTCTCCCGCAGGGACGGAAGACTCCCACCTGAACGGGTATGGGAGAGGCATGGCGGAGGACTACATGGTCCTTGACCTGAGCACCACCTCCAGCCTCCAGTCCAGCAGCAGCATCCATTCCTCCAGAGAATCCGACGCAGGCAGCGACGAGGGGATTCTTCTCGACGACATTGACGGGGCGAGTGACAGTGGGGAGTCGGCGCACAAGGCCGAGGCCCCTGCCCTCCCTGGCAGCCTAGGGGCTGAAGTTTCAGGATCTCTGATGTTCAACAGTTTGTCCGGGAGCAATGGTGGGATTATGTGCAACATTTGCCACAAAATGTACAGCAACAAGGGGACCCTGAGAGTGCACTACAAAACTGTGCATTTGCGAGAAATGCACAAGTGCAAAGTCCCTGGTTGCAATATGATGTTTTCCTCTGTGCGAAGCCGAAATCGGCACAGTCAGAACCCTAATCTCCACAAAAACATTCCCTTCACTTCAGTAGATTAGTCTCAGAACGGACACTACAAATGCCAGCTCTCACCAGACGGCCTACATATTTGAACTGCCACAGTCAGTGTGTGCTTGTGTATTTCAGTGTGTGTGTGTATACACATGTATGCCTCTCCATTCATACACACACACACCTATTTTCTTTTCTTTAGATATAAAAAGATAAACACTAAGTGCTTTTGAAACTTTTTTTTCCTTTATAGTTTTGGAAAAGGTGGGAGGGATCTTTCATTCAGGGGTGAAAACTAAGTACCCTTTAAATACACATACACACACACACACACACACACACACACACACACATAAAGCGTTCAAGTAGCCCAAATTTTGACAATAATAATTCCTGGTCCTCTCCAAAGAGACAGTTTGTACCCATGACTGTTGCCTGCAAATAAAATAAAAGGGAAAAAAAGAAAAAAAGAAACAAGGAACTTCTGAATAGGTGTCTTTTGTGAATTTGAAGGTTTTGAGAGAATCTTCAACTAAAGCATGGCAGATTCACCTGTAAATATTTAGCCTTGAGAGGCCAATGATGTAAAACAATTGTATTGATGTTGTTTAACTCTTTTGTTTAATTTTTACAGTTACATCCCGCTGTTAGATATGCAGGAAAAAATAGTTTGCTGGCTAGCTCTATTCATTTATGTTAGCATTAATGCACATTTAAAAAAAAAACATGGTCTTGTTTTTACTACCTGCTAGATATAGTGATGAAGAGGTGCTGGCATGCTTTTCAGCACAGATCTGATTTTTTTAAATGTCCTGTACTAGTACATAAATCCAGTCATGCACTTTTTTTCATACACTACAAGGGGATGTGTAATATCCATGCTTCTTTTTATCCTTAAACTATTGCCATACTTCAAATAAGTGTCTTTTAAAAAAATTCACTTGTATAAAAATGGTCTGGTCAGTATAGGGCACAAATGCCAAACAAAAGTATTAGTGTTAACACAAAACTGCCAACTTTGCACAAGTTTCCAGAAAAGAAAATACAATTAGTCACTCAACATAACCACAGGCCAATTTGTCGGCCACCAGAAAACCGCTTAAAAAAAAACACTTGGTGATTCTTTCAAGTGCCGAATGTTATTAGAATCAACATTGCATCCTTCTTGCTTATATGTTAAGTTACATAAAAGGAAAACAAAATTATGTGGTGTGAAACAGCCAAGGCATTTATTCTTTAGAGGCAGGATAATATTTCAGGATACAAAAGCCCAAATTACTCACTGTGGAACAAAGCTGCATACAGCAGAAGGGTTGAACACATTTCCAAGGACCTAACCCTTATCCTTTAAAAAGAAAAAAGTCCAAACTGGGCTGGTCTGTTGTGTGGCTGTCTAATCTGATGCAAGTTCTTCAGCAGCAGTGTGATTCAGCCCGTTTGATAGACAAAATCGAAAGACATTTAACAGCAGCCATACTTTGAAGCTTTGAAAACACGTGCTGAACTTGAATTGAGCAACACTCCTTTCTGAAAAGCCAGAAGAACAGGGGTTTAAAACAGGATCTCTCACTGTTTAGTGTTCTGCGCTTCCCCCACATTATTTGTCAGAAAAAAATGAAAGCAAGCCTAAAACCAAGCAATTGAGAGTGAGAAGGGGGAAGGTGGGGAGATGATTCTCCAAAGCTTTTTTGTTTTGTTTTGTTTTGTTTTGTTTCCGATGTTTACACATGTTGCCTGAGCTGGTTAACCACATCGGCAGCCTCAGCTACCACAACATACTGACTAAATGATGATATTTACTCAAGTTCAGTCGGCAGCCAAAACCATTAGGGTATGCAGTGCAGACTGTGTTGTGTTGTTTTGTTTTTTTTTAAGTGAAGGGGGGAGAGATAAACAAGGAATATGTTGTCAAACAGTACACAGTAATTTCAAGAGAATGTATTTCTTTCTTGAATTTAATGGCCTCAAACATTTCTCATTAGTCTAAAAGAAATACCCCCTTTGTTTTAACTTTTCATGTCATTTCCATTTTTCATATGTTTTGTAATTATTTTTTTCTGTGTTCACATCAGCATTCACTTCCGTTAAATTTGCCAAAGGAAACTGTTAATATGTTTCTGTTGTTATTATTCCTGTAGGATTTATTGTACCTCACAGTATTTATTGTTTCCAAAAAAAGAAGCATCAATAGTTGAGAATTCAGTATTTTTATTTGTGAAAAGTTCAGAAACAATAGATTCTTAAAGATAAGCTAGATGTGTCTATGAGCTTTATCTTTTCATCTCCTTTAGAGAATGCTATGTGGTTCCTTTAATTCATCACCTGTTCTACCGTGAGGAAAGACCAAAATTACTTGCAGTACAAAAGAAATCTTATTAAACACTATATCTCTTAAATGACAAATGTTTACGGTAAAAAGCTGAGGAATTAGTAATAACCATTTTTGTTTTCTTGTACCTTTGAATTTCCCAAAGTCTTAATTACTTTATTTTCATGTTGTGTTAAATTGAATAGACAGAGATGTTTTCTTTTGTTTTATACCATATAAGACTCTGTACAGTATGTTTGTGAAAGATTGAACTAGAATAATGAAAGTTTGTTTGCAAACATTTTGGTCCTCTTAGCGTTCTCTCTGTTGCGCTGTTGCCCCATTATCAGATGGTTCAGTTCAAAAAGGGTGGGGAAGATACTGTGTCCCAACAAAAGATTATAGAAACACTAGCTTTTGGAGTGAGCATAGAGAGAATTATACCCAGATTTATGAAATAACACACTTTTATTTTAGCAACTTTAAAAATTACACTCTTGGTTGAGATATGTGAACTCATCTTGTACAAAATCAATGTTTGGTCTGTTTAATTTAATGTCAACTAAAAGGTCAGATAGCCCTGGTGAGTGAATTACATAGCTGTCAGCAGGTCACATCAGCAGATGAACCGGGCTCAGAGCTCATGTTTGTTACTTGCCACACACTGGGCTAATGTGGATAGCCAGTTACAAGACCAGAACCGGTGAGATTCTCAAAGTGGTATTTTTCTTGCTCAGAAACATAAAAGTGCAGCTGCATTTTGTCAGAGAAATGGCAATGGCAATGAGTCCTGGAAATTCACCCTGTCTAAGTATCTTCTCTCCTACTTGCTACCTGTGCCTCCAGCGCCCAAATGTAATGGTGGCCTTCTGAAGGGGTGAATATTTTCCAGTGCGAAACCTGTTTGCTTAATAGGAGTGGGGGGTGCGGGTAGAAGTGGTACATGACAGGTACAGTCGTGAAATGTGCAATGCCTTTAGTCCCAAAGTGTTGCTTGTTCTTGGGTGTGTGCCTGAGTGCAGTGTGGAAATGACAAGTCTGGTCACGATGGTGATCCCAAGGTTTGTTTGCAAACAGGAAGCAGTAAGAGACCAGCATTTCCATCACTGAGCCCTTTCTCTTGCTCATTCCTACGCATTTGTTTTCTCACACAGATTCCTATTGTGAGATAGTTTCTCTCTGGCTGCATCTCTTCTATATTGGCTGAAAATTAATGGTGATGCTGACTTTCCTCTAAGCAGCTTTCCCCCATTTCATTGGTCTTAATCAGAGTTGTGTCCCAGGTACAAAGTTAGGTAGTGTTATTGATGTGCATGTTTTGTAGGCGATGTTAAAACTTACCGATTTGATCATTTTATTTTAAACTATTTTTGTGGCTATCAGAAAAGCTTCTTCTGCTGTAGAGAATATGGGCATGCTGTGGAGGGGTGTGACAAAGAACAGGGAAACAGATAGGTAGTGAGTAATTTAATTTTTAAAATGTGATCAGAACCTTGACACTCCTGGCTCTGCTATTAGCTGTATTGAAATAATTCAACCCAGTGTAACACATTTCAGGTCTTGGTCCAGCCGCCCAGTTCAGCCTCCTGCCTTTTAAAGGTTAAGAGGTGTTAATATTTTCCTTCTCAATATGATAAACATCTTTTTTAAAAAATGTTTTCAGCACAAGGGTGCCACTGTCTTTGCAGTGTATGACTCCTTTTATTGGGAATTTCCAGGCCATGTCAGTAAGAGGAGGAAGGTGCTCAACTGGTTAACAGCCCCATTAGTGTATACACTGCTCTTGGAAAAAAGGGGGAAAAAAAGCTTTGACTATATCAAGAATGGGCTGTTCCACAGACATTCTCCTCATTTTACTCAGGAGCAACCATGCATTAGGTTCTCACCAAATAAAATAAATGTGATCTTTTGTTCCCCGTCCCGTGTACGCACCCCAGATGTGTGCCAGGCAGATGAGAATGGGGGCCCTTGGCAATGAGAACATGAAGCCAGTAACCAGATGGAGGTGGACATGCCGCTGACTACTAACAGTTGGCCTGAGCAGCCCTAACTTGTACTTGGCCTGTTAGTGTTAGATTAACTAACAGAGTAAATAAAATTCAACTTTAAAAAGACACGCTACATCTGCTATCATAAAGAAACAAATCACCCAGAAAAAAACTTACATTCTTTCTATCAATGCATTACTTTTCTCAAGAACTTCTTTTTTAAAATTATGACTAGCAAATTTCATTTTTAAAGAATCACTTATATTCCCCCAAACTCAGAATGTTAATATAAAAGAATTTAGTTTTTCTTTCTCATTCTTTGTTTTTTAATGGGGTGGGGGCATCTCAACAAGTAAGAAGGACAATAAGAGGCAGGGGCCAGAGAGACTGGAGGGCATCACAGCTGTCCCAAAAGCCCAGGGAGTAAGGCATACTCAGTAGAGGACTCGTGCCTGCCCTGTTTGAGAGTAGCTACAAAAAAAAAAGAGGTGATGCGCTAGAAGTGCGTTCAAGAGAAAAGTCTGGCACAACCCTGCCCCGCAGTGGGTGAGACCATTGAGATGCAGTGCCCTGTCCAGCTCCCCATGACAGGTGCAGCACCAAACCCCAGTCTGAGGATGGAGGAAAGCAAGAACAGCTACGTGAAATAGCTCAAGTGCCTTAGGGTCAGGAGAACCAATAAGGCATTTGTGGGGTGGCGGGGTCAGGTGGGAGGGGTTCTTACTCTCTTTGGAGTGGGAAGTGATGCTGGAGTCCCTTAGGAAGCAAAAAGGTGTGATGGCTCAACCTAGGTTATAGCAAAGGCCGTGGTCAAACCTAGCTCTGACTGTGACAAGTGGAGTGGCAGTGAGGGGTAGCCAGCACGGATCTGTTCTTTTCCATCATTATTTTTGCTCGCCCCTGTAGCTAAGGTTGTAATGCTACTCGGCTAAAGTTCTCTTGATCAAGATGTGTGCTCATTTACCTTCCTACGAAGCATCCCCAAGTAACTTCTCTGTTTTCACATCTTCCCTCAAAGCTAAACAGTGTGCTGTAATCTTATTTATGTCAGTATTAAGGCCACATCTGATCTGTCCCAGACTCATTTCCGTATTTTCTATAGTTGGAGAGTTGTTCACTGTAAATGGTAATTTTCAATTAGTATTATGTAAATCCAGCTGTAAAATTGAGCAGTGAATTAATTTATCATCACTGTTGCCCAGACCCCCATTCATCCTTCTGTCATCCTTATAGCCCTCACGTCTGCACAAAGTGATGTGTGTGGTCATTTGGCAATAGCTGGACATCAATACTGTCTTTTGGCATTTGTTGAAAAATCCAAATGCCTAATAACAGGGAGTTTTAAAATAAGCATTTTTACAAGTACACTGAATTGGATCAGCATTATTGTTCACTATCGGTCTGTATGTATTTTTGGAGCAACATACTATTGTTGTCATAAAACTATCTTTATTCTTCTTCTCTAAAACATTGTTGTAAATTCATTTGACCTTTACAGCAAAAAAAAAATCTTTTTTTATATAGAGTATCAAGACAAGGTTCAGTTTGTAACAAATAATGGACCATTACAAATGAGGAAAGGGAAAAGCCTGGGCTGAGCAGTGAGAAGCTTCAGTTCAATTTCACCTCATATCTTTCTAATAACTTACTTGTCACTTTATTACCTTCCAGTAATGTGAACGCTGCTGACAAGACTGTCACACTAACAGCAGACAACACCCTCTCTGCCTCAGCCCCAGCTCTCCTGGCTACTTATTGCCCTGGCCCTGAAGGGACACAAACTAATAGTGTGCTTTCCCGTTCAGCACTTGGCCATCAAATATAAAAGGATGCGTAATTGCCTGTTTATCCCTTGTGAAGGGGAAATTGAGTACAAGGGCTAGGCTTTCCCACTGAGCTCCCTGAGGTACAAACATTCACAATCAGTCTCCCCCCCAACCCTACTTCCACTCCCCCCCCTCCGCCACCTGGCCCCACCACTTAAGCTCACACACACACCCCTACGAAACTGCATCTTTGGTAAGCCCAGGGCTGCCTCTAGATGTCCTCTCCAGCTATTAAGTGGATGGTAACAAGATGACTTCTAAAATAAAGGGTCAGTAGAGAGATGCTGGCTCTGACAGCATTCTCTGCATCTTTGGAGCTTAAGTGTGTACTTGCTCGCCCATCCTTCTAGGGAGAACTGGGTGTGACCTTCGAATTAGAGAAAAATTTCCCACAAGCCAGTGGCACACACAGCATCAGGTTGCCCCATAATCTGCAAGGACAGCATTAAAACATATTTCTTCCCCTTCAAAAAGTTCATGTTGTAAACAAATTTATTGTATAGGGTGGTAAAAAAAAAAAGTGTTCTGTTGCTTTTAGCTTTGGCAACCAACCATCGGTCTAAGTGAGCACATGCGTCTCTCAGTGGAACTAACCCCCATTTTGTTAAACTGCACTGACAGGGTGACAGGAAGGGTATGGGGATTTCGACTTTAATCTCTAAAACGGAGACTACCTATACATACAAGTTAAACTCTCCACTTTGGGAGAATTCTCATGGAGTACAAGTAGAGTGACTTGACTTTACTCTAAAACCAGGTGATGAGGGGACACAGGCACAAAGGAAGAACATGTGGAAGTGTTATATTCCAAAATGCTCTGAGTCCAGATAACGTGGAGGTACTGTGTTTGGCTTCAATTTTTGTATATTGAACTACTTGCAAGATGGTTGAAAAGGGCTAGTTGGTAAAGAAATGAAGTGCTCAGTCTATTTGTGAGCCTTCCGCATGGAGCTCGGGGACTCCATGCTTCCCGCTGCCCCACCGCAGGTCTGATGGATGCTGTTGACCGGGGCCACGGCAGCCACATTGCAAATACATTCTCAACCAAGTAAGACACATGTGGGTGTCACCTTTTGACGTGGACTCGTGGAAAGAGAGAACAGTAGATTTAGAGATAGACAACTGAACAGGTCTCATTTGACAAACCTGTGCTGAGTAATTTCATTAACCAGTCGGAGCACTGGGGAGAAAAGCACTTTGAGCAAGGGTTCTTGGACTCAGAGGAAAAGCACTTAACCTGATGTTTTTTAAGTTCCTCCTGTACGTATGTATTACAATAATTTCTCAAACATCACATTAGAAACTTTAATTAAAAACTCAGTTGCCAAAATTGCACAGATTCTGCTAATATTACTATTAGCATTTCTTCCTTTAAAGAACAGGGATGCATAAGGACATTTCTAATTTTTTAATGCTTTCTTTAGCTTCATTTTAAAAAAATAATCTTTGAAGAGAAGGAAGAACAGGTTATTTTAACAAAAATGGAGAGACATAGTATAAAAATATATTTCTTGAAGAGAGAAGAGTATCTAAGTGCTATACCAAGACTTTATACGGCTTCCTGTTGCCAAATATGTTGAAATAATGCACACTACGATGGCAAATCAAGCCATTAGTAACCAGCTCTGTGCACTCCTGTTGGGGAACGCAAGGACTGGGAGGTGACTAGGGAGCCCCTGAGGGTGTGAGAGAGCTGCACTCATCTGGCCCTGCAACTGTTCCCCAAAAGAGGGGGAGGAACCCCTGCACCCTTGTAGTTCCCCTGCAACGTGAGCTGACCGGCACTGTTTCTGTAGGAGGCTCGCTGCCTGCCTTTTCCATGCTAGGAGACACGGCGTCTCCCGCCTGTGAGAAGCATTGATTCATGAGGTATGATGTTCTTGAACTCCCAGTGTGCTGAGTTAATAGGTTCACTTGAGATGTATAAACCAAGGTTGATTGTTTATTTTTTTTCATCTAGTACTCAATTTGAAGCGTTTTTGCATGTCTTTGTACAGAGTAATCCATTCCTCTCATTGCCTATCTTAATCTCCCCTGACTTTTCCATTATCTTTCCACTCCCTCCCGTTGCTCTTCTGATCTCACCCACCCCCTTAAAAAAAAGAAAAACACACACAAAAAAACAAACTCTTTTTTGAAGCAAGAAGGTAGAACACGCCTTCATCCTGACTTTGATCGCTTTGGAAACATTTGTGTGCTCTGCCCTGTCCAGGGTTTACATAACGTGAATTAAGTGAATGAGATGTTCTAGTATTATATATTAACCTGATATGACTATCGAAGATTTATAATATATGGTGCACTTACTTTCCTTTGCAAACTTTGGTTCAGCTGCCCTGCAGAGAATCTTACCATTTCCCTACCGATGCCAGTATGAAACATGCAGGAGAGCTAAAAGTGGGTACACGGAGATCAGAGGAGGGGAACAAAGTGGAGAAACCAGGAGAAGGCTGTACTCTAAGGCCGCCTGGGCCTTTCCTCAAAGGTGGAGGTGACCTGGGGTTCTGGGGAAGAAAGTGCTGTGTTCTCTACTGCTGATCGTGGGCAAGTCCTTTTAGAACTGGCAGGATCCATCGCACAGCTGGAAGGACACAGAACTTTCATCTCCACCCCAGCCCCACTGGTACGTCTCAATTACAAAAACATTCAGTTCAACCTGCATATTTAACAGCAAAAGTAGCCAAAAGGAATTGAAATATCTTGAGGAAAAGGAATTTTCACCAAGATATGTGCTCTCCCTCCCCTAGAGTTTGGGGGCTTCTGCTTTTTCGTTGTGTTGTTCTCATCTGCATCACACCAGTCTCTTCTGCTAAGCCTGTCACAGAACCGAAGTCTGGACCCGAAAGGCAGCCGCACCGAGGGATGGGGACAGCTCACATTGCCCTACCGCATAATTGTGGCGTCGGTAGCTTCCCAAATACTGTATGTACCTTGAACAAGGGTTCTCGTTTTGTTTTTATTAGTAGCCTAAGGGAATTAAAAGTTTTTATTTGCTATTTCCTTTGTTGTATTTTCTGTACTATAACTGTCTACAGTATGTCTTTTGCATAAAATGCATAAGGGTTTGGGGATGTAAATGGAATTTTATTCATATTTTGTCCAAATACCTCTTGTAATTTGTATCAAAATTCTTGTACAATTTTTATATTAAAGATTTATCAGTCACTGGTTTCCTCTTACCTTCTTGATTTGAAGAAACATCAACCAACTCCAATAGACCTTTACAAAATACACCCGGTAGCACATCAGCTCACATTGCAATTCCCCCTGTTTAAGCTCACTTGCTGGATAACTGAGAGTCACTCTCCTAGTTGGACTACATCCTGGTTTACTTAATACACTTCTTAGGAAGATCGAACTCGCCTCTTGCTCAGAAGGCAAAGCTGAATCAGGGCTACAGAGACCCCAGCCAGTCCCAATGGAGCGCAGCAAACACCGACCTGCATCTTTCCGCACCAAAGCCATCCGTTTGGGGATGCCTTTCCCCCAAAGCCTTTGCCCAAGATCTTTTAGGTGTCTATGAACCGCAACTTTCTGCAAATAGATTTTCTTCCCTCCCCACCCTGTGAAATTTGTGAACAGCAGCCAACAGAATAATGACTATATGTATATATATTTTCAGGCTAAATGCTTTGTGTTTCAGTTTATATTCTCCTGACAGCGGTTTTCTGCAGATTCTGCCCATTATAATCTAGAAATAAACTAACAGATGGAGAGATGTCATAATCAGTGACATTTCCTCCTTCTGTCATACTGCTTAAGGGACAATGGGGAAAAGTATATAGAAGGTGCTTTGGACTCAGCAGTGTTTAATATTAGCCACGCCTCTTACACCAATCCTGTCTGAAAATTGGAAGGGAGATTATAAGGACTCTCCCTTTCAATTTAGGATTCAATTTAGGATCTGTTCATCCCAGAGCCAGATTTGCCCAAGTCTCTCCAGCTTGTACCACCCACTTCTCTGATTTTTTTTTCTGACCTGTAACTAGGGAACTGAGCTACCCAGACGCTGTAGCAACCCCTGCCCCCAGCCTCTGGCTGGTAAGAAGCCAGACAGGTTACTTGTACCTGTCTGGCTGTCATCAGCCCCACAGCAAGGAGCTGTCCAGCCAGCTTCAGATGCCACTGACTGAGGGTTCTTCTCCAGGTAACAGGGGTGCCAGCCACCAAGCCTTCACTGTGGCTCCTTGGTTTTCTTTGTGTGCCCATAGGCAGGTTTCAGGGTGAGGGGGAAGAAATGAACAGTTAAACAATTTGGGCAGAGTCAGCCTCCTTTGAGGCACGTGGTGATAAACGTCATGGGTGTGTGAACACACTCCTGCAGGGAACCCACGCATAATTATGATCTTTTCATCTGTCACAACATGTCTGCGATTGGCAAGAATTCTCCCTCAAAGAGCTCTTTCTTTTAAAAAAATTGTTTCAGATGTTATTAAATGGTAGAAATCCTCCTGTTTAGTAAAGAGGCACCATGAAGAAAGCTCTTGGCATGAAGCTAGTCAAAACTGCCACATCGTGGGCAGTGGCTCTCCCCAGTCACTGGAAGACTTGCCATCTGCTAGTTTGCTCCGAGTTGGTTGACAATATGACAGTAGATTAAGTGCTACTAATTTAATAAAGCTGCTCTGAGGTTGAAGCTGAT